AGAATTAACGACGTCAGGATCACCATTTTCAAACTAACGGTTCTCTCACCATTAAAACCCCTTGAACCATTTCAAGAAACTCAGTATCAAGAAGAACCCGATCATTTCGATTAAACTTGTCTGATTCATCCGAATGCAAAGGCTAACATCAGTGTAGCTAAATTATACTGCATGAAATCGACACTGCTCAATTTGCAGCTTCTACTCTCGAGGTTACAGGATCATCAATGATTTTCTTAAAACTACAGTTAACACTGCAAAAATGATCTCAACTGAATAACTCTGAAATGTGAAAAACAATACAACTATGAATTAACATATAAGTGAAGTTAACATATAAGTGCACGATAATTATGAAAGGTGAGTGTAATTTTAAAACTGATTCAAAATGATGTAATCAATTTGTGGAATAAACCAATGAAAACTTGTTCCTTTTCAATGTTGTCAATATGTACACTTTTCATAACATCGTTTGTCATCCCATTAATGCGCATGTTCATGCACTCACAAAAATATCATCATTCCTCTAATACCAAACCTCAGTGAGAATGAAAAAATAGCAATATGATTTATCACAACTCTAGCCGTGTCAGGGTCACTGTTTTCAAACTGCCGATACTCCCAGGTTTGCATGGAAGTATTTTTGTGTCTCTTCACCATCCTATTCTTCAGATTCCCTAGTTTCAGAAAAGTTTACCTGTCATAGGGCAATTTTGCTTTTCACAAGTAATACTGACAGTGAGCATTTTCTCTAACCATCTCTCGCAGTTGAGCCGCTCATTCCAATACATTGTATCTGCTTTGATCAATGTATGCAAGGAAATAACAATATCATGATCACCAATTTCAAACTATCGGTACTCTCAGGTTTGCACGGAAGCATGTCTGTTTCTTTTAACCGTTGGATTTTGACAGAATCATACCTGAAAGGCTGAGAATATTCATATATTGTTATGAGTAATTCTAGAACGGCCAAAAGACATATTCCCATTCAAATTTGAGGGTACCGAAAGTTTGAAAATGAATATCCTGATATTGCTAATTACATGTATATCTTGATTAATGCATATATAATGTATTGGAATGAGCGGTTCAATTAAGTGAGACGGATTTAGAAAATGTTCAACATTTCATGTAAAAAGCAAACTTGTCCGATAACACATAAACTTTTCTGAAATTAGAGAATTTGTGGAATCCGATGGTAGAGAGAAACAGACATGCTTGCGTGTAAGCCTGAGAGAACCGTTATTTGAAAATGGTGATCCTGACGTTGTTAATTCTTCATATTCAATCATAATGCACATGCATTGTACTGGAATGAACGGCTCAGCTACGTGATTCGAATGAATCAGACAAGTTTACTTGAAATGATCGGATTCTTCTTGATATTGAGTTTCTTGAAATGGTTCAAGGGGTTTTGATGGTGAATTTATCGAGCAGTTGAGCGCATCCGAATGAACCTGCAAAGATTGTTCTGAAATTTGTGAGGAATAAAAAAATGCTACCAGATATTCGTAGTCGTAAGAGATTATTCAACAGAAATGTTTGAATTCCAGTGTTAAGGCAGACATCATTTGCAGGGCCAAATTTGTGCTCAGAATTGATCCGTTAGTAGTGCCTAGTTCCTATTTGTCAGGCTGCATCCAATTCTATGGTGAAATTCATGACACTCTCTTCCAATTGACGTTGGTCGAGCAAAGTTCTATTCCGGCACTTTTCCCACTTCAATCGCCCTCGGCAGCAACATTTTCCATAGTGACTGTTCAATTCAAGTTACACTGTCGAAAACTACATCATCATCATTCACAAAATTTCTCGATTTGTAGAGAATGGAATCCTCCATCCAATGGATTATAATGCATTGGCGAGCAAGGCTCTGCTCCGGCACTTTTTCCACCTGAATCGCACGCGACACTATTATTTGGTGGTGACTGCCGAAGTATGTCTTGACTTCATCGAAAACTGCCCCAAATTTCAAGTGATGATGTGTCGCTTTGCAGATATTCTAGTCCTGTTGCTGACCGACTGTGTAGAAACAGTTGCGAAGATTGAGCATTTTCCTTTTCAGTTTCAACGACAGCATTCAGTTGCCATGATTCTTTTCGTACGGAATGAATGAAGGTTCTTAGAGAAGTGGAAACTTCAAAAATCTTAGTTCAGATGTTTTATGCTTTAGAAGTGTTGGCCTTATTGCATGATATGTTACTTGAGGATGAACATGGTTGCTTACACAGCAGACAACAAGGAAACGTAAGCAGCATGAGGGACTTCAGACTCGACGGAAATCCGATCGAACTCATGTGCGAGATTCCGTAATCATGCTATTTCGAAGGGACTCCTTTAATTTTCCAGTTGACTTCATTTCAGAAATTCGTTCCATCAGCTGACTAATTTTTCAGAAATCGACCGTATTTTGTCAACAACATTTGCAATTTGCATTTTCCGAAAGTAGCTTTTAGGATGTGAGGAGTATCAAGGGAGTATGGACGTTGCTGACCGACTACTTAGACCGACTATTGTTTAACCCAATGCAGAGAAATTTGATGCATAATAGTAATCCTATATTGAAACTCAATAATCTGCGGTATTCGTGCAACCGTGAGGGGTTATTGAACATCATTGAAGCGCAACTCGTTGCCCTCCTCCCGTCCCTGAAGGCATGCCACTCGCCTCCAGTAAGCTTCAAACCACGACGTTTGTTTGGTGATAACTTGAACATGGCGATATGCTTTTGGCGAGTTGTCTGCATACACTTTATTGCGGTACGTGCGGCTGTCAGGATGGATTAGAACATGGTGGAGTAAGGTGTAGGATAATGGATTAAAGTAGCATCCATCAAGTAGTTCCACCATAGCATTGTATCCGGTCTTGGTAGGGAGCTGAATAACCGTCATCGGGGATTGGTTGGTTGAGGGAAGTGATTTTATTGATGTTATTGAGATTTTCGATATTTTCAGTCAATTTTCATGCTCCGNNNTGCAATTTTGATAGTCTCTGCATCCACCGAAAACAGCTGTAACATGTGTCTTTCGTGTAGATCAATTGGTAGACTTCCATCGTTTCCTCCGTTGTTTTAAAATTCAGTTGATTTCTTTGCTGAATCGTTTGTGATTTTTGAATTGCATTTTAATTATGTTGTATCATTCGAAGTGTTCGCAAGAGTTTGTCGTATGCGCTTTATAGTGATGTGAGTTGTTCGGCGTTCATTTAAGTATGTAGAATCGATATTCAGAGATCTTGCATTATGGTTGCAAGTCGAATGATTCGTATTGGACGCTATCTTCGAGCGTTGCCACGAGAACTGTGGAACCTTTATCCTGAACAAGTTGGTTTGCACAATAAGTTCACGTTTCATTGAATGAACTTACCGACTCTGTAAATGCGCATCGACACAAAATCTTCACGACATAATAAAATTAGAAGCCCGTCACGAATATCATCCACATATCAGTAGAAGTCTTGCAAATCAATCATCTCTTGTAAATATTTCAATGTGGCATTAATTTCTGATATTTTCACGTATGTTTGATTCACTATGATCCTGCAGGTTGCTCTCTTTTCAACGTTCGGCGTGGCAGGTGCTGTAGTTTTCGTGTACAAAGTAAGGAAGTATGGTACTGAAGGAAGTAAGTATAAGACATTATTCGAGATATTATATCGTTAATGTTTACATTGTCATTTCCGTTCCATTTTGGTGAGTCATTTTTTGGT